AAAAAAAAAAAGAATTAGGGAGAATCAATAAATGTATTAATATATTAATCAATTAATTTATTGCTTTTGTGTGAATAATATGTAATCATGTAATCAATAAAAAAGTAACTCTGCTCTGATTCTGAGTATTTTAAAATGTAATTTAATCTAATTACAAGTACTTAATTTTTGTAATCTGATTACTTAATCCAGATTACATAGAATCAGTTACTACCCAGCTCTGTGTGTGTGTGTCTATATATATATATATATATATATATATTTACACACACAGTATATATAACACATATAACAGTTTGGAGGCAGTAACTTTGAAAGGCTGCATTTATTTGATCAAAAATACAGTAAAAATACAATTGTAAAATCTAATTTAAAATAACTGTTTTCTATTTTAATGTTTAAAAATATATTAATGTGATGGCAAAGCTGAATTTTCAGTAGCCATAACTTCAGTCTTCAGTCTCACATGATTTTGCAGAAGTTTTTACTGTCTTCTTGTTTTGATCAATTGAATGCATCCTTGTTGTATGAAAGTATTAGCTTCTTTTTAAATAAATACAATTTACTATAAGATCACTGACCCTAAACTGTAGTATATAGTGTATACATACATACATATACATATTTAGGTTTTTGGTACATTTAAACGACAAATATTAATCCTCCTATTTACTACCGGTACTTTTACGAACTTGAGCCAAGCTCATTTTTCTCCATTCTATTTTGATGACAGTGAAGGAAGGATTTGTATCATGTAGTTGCTCACAAAGGGTTATTTTGGTAGAAAGGCCACTTTACGTAAGGCATGAAAGGCATCCCAAGGCTAATATTTAGCCGGTGACAGGGCCAGCTGCTCCAAACTGAGGCACAATTCTCAGACAATCCAGAGTAGTTGGGACAAAAATGTATTGTGGTGAAGCGCCCATGCCTTGCAGGTAAAATAGCATCAGGTATCTTGAGGCTTGAGGGCTGAAGTACTAGCTGTGTTCGTGATATAGCCTGTGATGGACACACAGCTGACAAGTCAAGAAGTATTTTTTGTCTTAAAGCAGCAGCTTAATACTACACTCTAAAAAAAAATGCTGGGTTATTTCAACCCAACTTTGGGTCAAATATGGACTAACCCAACCGTTGGGTTCAATTTTGACATTACATTTTTAACCCAAAAGTTGGGTTAGTCCAAATTTGACCCAAAGTTGGGTTGAAATAACCCAGCATTTTTTAGAGTGTATAAAGGGACTTGAATAAAGTTGACTTGCCTTTATAAGGATTACAGGTGGAGTATGATTTATTTATTTTTTTACAATAAAGCAGTAGTTCAGCCAAAGGCGAAACTTTGCTGAAAATGTACTCAACCTCATGGCATCCAAGATGTAAATGAGTTTGTTTCTTCACTGGAACAGATTTGGAGAAATGTAGCATTACATGACTTGCTCACCAGTGGATCCTCTGCAGTGAATGGGTGCCGTCAGAATCAGAGCTGATACAAACATGACAAGAACCCACAAGTAATACACACAACTCCAGTCTATCAATTAACACCCATGTTTTAATCCATCATTTTAACTTTAAACCAAGACTTCTGGCCAAAATGCCAGTCCATAATGCATAATGGTAATGCAGGGATTACCAAACTTTTTTTTTGTCAGCCAAATGTCTTTTATGCCAGGTTCGGAAAATTTGATGTAATGTTTAATGCATTTTATGTTGTTAAGAACAACAAATTGAATATATTTTCTTTCTCTTAGTATTTTTATATTAGTATGGTACAAGTTTATCCTATTTAAATCTATGTGATAAAGTCAGTATGTATTCTACCCAGCACTGATTATGGATAGAGGACACGTATATTTTGGCCAAAAGCAAGTTTGAAGTTAAAAATGTCTTGATGGATTTATTATTCCTTCACATAATTGACAGACTGGAGTTGTGTAGATTACATGTGGATTATTGTCATGTTTGTATCAGCTCTGATTCTGACGGCACCCATTCACTGCAGACGATCCATTGGTGAGCAAGTGTTGTGATGCTAGATTTCTCCAAATCTGTTCTGAAGAAACAAACTCATCTACATCTTGGTTTTCATTTGTGGGTAAACTAGTCTTTAGAATACTTTCCACTATTCAGTTCAATATGTCAACTTCTGGTTCAACCAGTGGTGTGAGTTTGGGCAGAACTACCTGTTTGTCCAAAAAAGGAAGACAGGAAGTGCATCCCAATTTGCATACTTATGCACTGACTATTCTGCTATTTTGTAATATGAGAAGTGCGAGTAGTGTGTTGACATTAAAATTTCCAATAAGAAGTGCACATAAAATACTGAAAAAGTGTAGAAACCCCTCAGAACACCTTTGCAAACACACTGCAACACAATAGCGGTAAAAGCATAAAGAACGTAGTTCTTTTCATTCTATTCATGGCAAAGACTCACATTTCTTTTTTCAGAACCTTGTGTGTAGCAATACTTCTGGCTGAATAGGAAGTACATTAAGTTTCTAAATAAATTCATGTGACTAGTATTCAAACCACAGTCACGGAGAGTAAAAGGATGGGGTTTGGTTTTCATCAAAAGCTGTGCGCCGTTTTTATTGTAGTATTCTAAATTTACATTAAAAAAAGAAAGTCTGCCCATGTCCTAGATCCATTATGAAAGTTAACGCACAAATTCCATATACATCTCATTGTATTTTACATAGAGGATAAGAGTATAGGCATGGAGGTGGCATGATCAATCACAAAGCTTAAAAGAACCAAGAGAGATTAAAAGAAAAAACCCTGAATAAATAGAAGGTGCTGTCTATTAGCAGAGAGTATGTAAGCATGTCACTCTTTTGAGAAGTTCAACATAAAGCCGTAACGTGGCAAATCTCAAGCCCTCCTTTTACCGATGAAGAGAGAGGGGTCCCAAGCGTACTAAAGCAGAAACGTGAGGAGTAGAGCGAGATGACAATGGAGAGCCTAACTTGTCTGTACAGGTGCATAAGTTAAGAGAGTACATCTGGTGATTACACAGACACTAAGACATTGACGTCTAGTTAAAATGGTTAAGGTGTTAATTTGCCTCGGCCAATCAGGGCAGACCATTTGAACGTCCAATAGAGCGCAACAGTGGGCTTTCAGAAGTAAAAATCCCATTTAATTTCTCCATAAAGAAATTTATTTTTAACAAGAACATGAAAACCTTTGAAACATGAGAAACCATGAGCTCAGTTTGATTTCACCATCAAAAAAAACCCACTAAAAATGCTGAATTTGCTGCGAGGAACTACACTACCCATAATCCTGAAGAGGGCTCCACCAATCAGAGACACTGCTGCTACCATAGAAATAAAAATCATAGCAAGAGTTCGGTAACGACTACCCACCCCCATTAAGCACTGCGAATTACAAACAAAGAGATGCTTGATCACACCAAAACGAATATTTGTTGCGATAAACATTTCTAATTTTAATCAACGGCTGTTAATTTCGGTTCATTTCACTGTGAAAAAAACTGGCCAACCAATAAGATACTCACTTGTGGTCACATGTCACTACTGTTACAATTTGAATTTCCATTTTATTCAGCCTGTCCTCCATTTTTTATGTATTGGTCTGAACAGAAAACTTCAAATGCAAAAATCAAACCAAATTTGTGGCTAACGTTTGGTGTGAACGGGTTTTAAATGTCCCTAAACCTTTAAACTACTTTTATATTTGATCAATTGTTTTGCAATATACACGCATACCATGAAATTGTTTTTATCCGTATAATGACAATAAGTCAGTAATTGTACCGTCTAGGGCTGTCAAAAAAAATTCGAATTTCGAATATTCGTCGAATTTAAACTAAAAATCCACATTTTAGGTGTACGTTAAGGAGGCAGCCTTATCAGTGGCGCACGAGATGCGATGATGTGTCGTTGCATTTTAATATTTTTGCTAGCCTATCCTGCTGAAGCCACTAGATGCGGCGCTGCTTCGTTGTTAATGACAAATATAGCATGAAAAGAGAACATCAACGCGGAGAAGATCTTGTTTACGTCAAAACTGAAATCAACCCGTTCACACGGAATGCATATTTCGCGCATTTTCTAGAGGGACATCTATCACTGTTGCACTCACGTCTCGCACAAAAGAGCGGCATGTTTAGAAAGCCATGCAAAATTAATGCAAGTTCAACTTTGAAAAAACATAACATCTCTCCCGCCCTTTGTGTTAAACTATGAATACATACATGATGCCGTTTTGTTTATAGTTGTTTAAGCAACTTAATTATAATTGGTTTATAAACATTATGCACTTTTTTCCCCACAGATAGTCATGTTTTCTTGCTTTGAATAAACGTGCATTAGTAATATTTTGCTCGATGCGCCCTCTTGTGGCCTCAGGAGAGAAGCCAAAAGCTTTTCTTCACCCTAACTGAAATTATGCATTTTAAATTCAAATACAATTTGAATTTTGATAATATTTAAGTACAAAATTCGAATTTAGTTTTTCAGCCATTTTGACAGTCCTAGTACCGTCATGTTTTTATTCGATTGTCATTCACGATGCTTTGATGGGTTGAGTAGTTCAAACCATCAATGGATCTAAGTATGCGATCTTGTACCTTCATTTTTTTTCCATACCTAATTACTGTGTATGGTACGTTGTGATTTATCTTGGAACTGGTCAGTTTAGTTTTTGGCTTTATTTTTTTTATCCTTATGGAGAAAATGGATGGGAAAAACACTGTCGCTGATAAAGTGGGCGGTCACTGTTGTGCTCTGATGTGTCACAGACGAAGGGGCAGATTGGAGCCGAGTGACAAAAGCTTTTAACACTTTTTCTTGCGAAGCTACTGCAGGTTCCAATTTTGCTGTTGATTTCCATATTAAACAAACAATAAAAAACCTAAACTTGTAGATATTTCGCCCATTTCAAGTGGGCTGTGTTCAAGTAACCCTGGGAAAAGAAAAAAAGTTAAAGCTTTGGGATATTTAGCTTTTTTAATGACAAGGTCATTAAAAATCATGCACGCTGCAAATAACCTCATGCAGTAGTTATGGTAAACCATCCAAGCACTTTTTATTCATTAATATTCATAAATACACACAGCAGCTTCATTAGAGAAGGTCTCTTGTTTCCTCTTCAGTTTTTGAATGTGGAGTATTTATAAGGAGAGCCTTTTGCAAGACACAGGAAGCAGAGGTCTGCCACAGATACCTACGCTCACCTGCTAAAGGAAAAAAATTAGTTATGTGGAATTGATTATCAACTTATATATATTTATTTATATATTTATATTTCTTATTTTCTCTCTCTCTCTCTCGTTCCGTTTATGTGTCTCTCGGTTTCGCTCACTCTCTCACACGCCTGTTCTGATGTATTTTGATTTTTTTTTCCTCTCGCTCTCCTTTCATGGATTTATACAATGTAACAAAGGTGACATACCTGAAATTACAATCACCAAAAAAAAAAAAAAAAAAGAAAAGAAAAAAAAAAGGAAAAAAAATGAGAGAGAGCTGTGTTTTTTGCCCACCGTCATTGGCAGTTACAGCACAGAGGACATTGTCTGCGTTGTGGTGGGATATCATCAAAGAGGAGGTGGTGGAGGCTCCTTGCCTGTGGAGCTCTCCTTCAGGTTGAGGCTCTCCAGAGCCACATCTAAAGGCATGATGTCCACGCAGCCCATGGCGCCGAAGTCAGCAAAGTCTCGCCTTTCGTCCTCGTCGGAAGACGAGCTCTCTTCTCGCATTAGTGTGGACAGCAGCAGCTCCTGCACGAACAGGCTGCGGTCCGCGCGCTCGCTCTCCAGCGCCTGCCGTTCTGCCTCTGACATTTTCGGCTCGTTCAACCTGGTGGAATTAGAAGGGACAAATACTAAATTAAAAATGTATTATTGTCTATGAAATCTGTTTTAACCCCTCACCCAATTCTTGATTTCTTGAAGTTTAACTGAATGATAATAATCAAAGAGGATGTCTAAACAATTAAATTCATAACATTTCAACAATTACAATTTTAACAATATAGGGCCCAATAAAATGTTTCATCTTTTCAGAATTTTTTTGGGGGGATTCTGTGTTTTATGGTTGAATGCATTTATCAAAAAATGCTGATAATTAAATGAATGCATAAAACGTTACTAGTTTAATTAATCTTTTAAAATGTAATAAAATTAAAATATAACATTTTGGCTAACAAAGTGCTGCACAATAGAGGTTTACTGTTCAATTATAACTAATAAAAAATTGTGATATTTCTTAGAAATAAGATTTTAAATTGCTTTACTATTAATATGACTTCAAGATACTGTACAAAACTAACAGAGTTCTGGAATGAAACTCTAGATGGCGCAGTACGATAGGTCTAACTCAATCTGACCTAATGACATCATCACATGGCTCAGCTGATTGGTTCTGTCCTGTTTCAGTAGCCAATGAGCTCACTGCTCAACATTCAAATAAATGACTAGTGCTTGCCGTAGCAGTTGCAGCTTGCTTCAGAAACCCTCCACCTTCCCCAGCTCCACCTGTATAGATCTGCTACGAGGTGATTCATGTATGCTATATGAGGGTTATTTCATGTATGTTATATTTGCAGCAGCAATATTCCTTACATGATTACAGCAGCATGTTGTGGATGTATTGGCAGTAGCAAGTCTCGGTACTTGCTCTGCCGCAGTAGCAGCGTAGCAGTTCTATTCTGCCAAGCCCAAATACATTAACCCTCTTAGCGCCAAAGTCGCAAAATTGCGACAAGACATCATACTTAATCAAATAGACTGTAGTTCCTAATATGGTGTAATATCTCATTTGTATTCCGTACCACTAGATGGCAGACATGTAGTACTTCTATAGTAATAATTTAGTACTTTCTCCTGTTTTATTGTTGGTTTCCTCTTTTCTGATCATTTGTAATGAGGATAAAAAGACAAAAAAAAACAAATAGGTTCAAACATCAATTCAGTATCTATTATTTCCTGAATATTATGACATTCAGGAGGGCCGCCCCCTGATGACGTCATACTATGCAAATTAGATGAGTATATTTACACCCCACATAAACTTTCGGTCATGCCCAACATTTTTCTAATTTACATTAGATCTCTATCTTTAAGCCCTTTCAAGCTACAAGATTTTGAAATCTTGATGTCAAAATCCAGCATTTTTCCAAAAAAACCCTGGCGCCTAAAGGGTTAACATTGTCATGTGCATTACCATGCCAATCCCTTTCGAGAGTTGTCATGACAGAAATATATTTCTGCCACAATTTTAAGTAAAACCAAACTTTTATTTTGGCAGGGCATAGTGAAGACTTTGAGTTTCTGCGATAGTTTTAACAAATTAAATGGTGAAATACTCGTGAAGTAAACTCTCAGAGCAGCTCTTGATTTGAAGCTCACGTTAATTTTCTTTTTAAAGTTGACTTAAGTGTTCTTTCCCCAGAATTTCATTTTTATTTCCCCTACATTATGATATCAGGACAGTTTTAGAACCCTAACATTTTTGACTATGTCCCAAAAAATATCTGAATTTTCATTTAAAAATAAGAATGTTCTGAAAATACAGCAACAATCTTGAGAATATGCTGATGTCTGAGCCGTACCGTGTGAGAAGAAACTGGGAGCTGTGGGAGGCCAGCGGGTTGCTCTCAGACATGGCGGTGTTTGTGGCGGTGTTGGGCGGCGGGATGTTGGCGCTGATGTTGCTAGGGTTGCTGCGTTGGCGTGTAGCGTTACGGGCCGTCTCCAGCTGCTGGCGTGCCGCCTGTGCCTGCTGGCGCTCCAGCTGAAGCTGCATTTGCAGCTGCTGCAGCTGCGAGGCCGAGGGGCCAGAAGAGTTGAGCTGCCCTCCCGCAGAGCGCCGCACACCCGACAGCTGAGAGAGCAACTCTGGTGATGTAGACACAAGGGGAAAGAGAACCACTGTGTGAGAAGACGCTTAAAACAGCACTTGCATCATCAAACTAAAGACACATAAGTCAGGTAAGTACAAAGTCCTGTGTACATGCTCCCTACTTCCTGTCTTTAGACATTACACACCTGCTATGGGGTCCATGGCTTCCCTATTACTTGGGGAGTAGGAGGAGCTTTGTGAAGAGGAGAGGCCACCAGTGGAGCTGCTGGTAAAGTGCATGTTAGTCCGGCGTGCCCGCGGACCGCCCAGTCCCCGCCCAGGGTGGAACATCCGACGCACGTGTCGCACGCCGCTGCTCTCGTCGTGCACATGCTGGTTAAGGAGCAACTGCTTGATAATGTGTCACCACACACCCGATACAGAAGACACATCACATCTCATCCTCAATCATCTAATATAGTCATTCAAATGTTAAGCGCATATGGCACATTGAGCAGTGGCACTCATGCAGAAATTTCAGGTTCGCGTCCGATGTGTTGTGATTTCATTACCTTTTTTGCTCCACACTTTTCTGTCACTTTATCACTTAACTCTGTCTGTTTGTAATATCTTTTGTAATACATAAAAGTAAAATCATAAAGGTTTGGAGTGACGAGTAAATAGCAGAATTTTAGGTTCTGTGAGAAGAACCTTTACATTTCTTAAAGATGTAAGGACATAAAACCTCAATAAACCTTTGTAAGGTTATCTCTGAAGAGACTTGAACATACACACACACACAGGCCTCAGTCATTACACATGAGCAGAACCTATGTGTGTACATTGTAAAATCATTCTTAAGTAAAGAATAAATTGAACATTGAATAGAAGGTTTTTATGAAAGAAGTCCATTATATATTGGGACATATACACATTAGGTTAAGATAAAAGGATATTAAATCTCTAGGTGCTCTGTGTTCAAGTGTGAGATGAGCAGCAAAGTCATCTGTCACATGATTGGGGTCGCCACCAGGCAAAGCTGCACAGATTGGGCAAATCTGAAACAGAGAATACATACATATTCATAATGAATTAATGTAACCTCACATTAAGTGGACACATGCTTGTTCATGTTTGTGTCATTTTCATTAAAATTAAAGGTAATGTTTAGAGGTACAAAGTCATGTGTCTGTAAGCAGCAGTCCAGATAGACGAGGAGCTGTTGATATTGTTATAATTGAAAGACAGAGTGCAAAGTCACAGCAGCAAACAGAGTCAAAAGAGGTAATATAAAAATCAAATGCAGATAATGATTACAACCAGAAGGCCACTTTTATCATTATTTTCCTGTAATATATCCCTATACCTTTCTGTTTTATTATCCATCTTCCATTCCAGGAGAGCGAGAACATGTTTAACATTTTTAAAGCAAGTGCATTTTGCATTAAAAGCACATGAATGATTAGTTCAGGAATTTGAACTTTTCACTCAGTGGTTGATGAAAATTCACATCACGTTCTGTGCAAAGAGTTCTGATGTTAATTCCTGCAGACGATCTGTGTTTGCTGTGAACAGGCTTTATTTTAAACACATCAAACTTTGATGATAAAGGTCTTGAAAAAACCTGACATTGCTGTACAATAGGGCTTGAAAATAACGATTTCTCGATTTTAATCTATTCTTACAGAACCAACATTGATTCTTAAATCCCAAGAATCGATCTATGCTCTTGTCAGTTTATGTGCGAACACAACTGCGGGAAACATTATTTGTAGCAAGCCTGCCATTCAATAAGTCTTGCCTCTTTAAGAAGAATCGCTTTATATATCGCCCAATTGTAAGTCGCTTTGGATAAAAGCGTCTGCTAAATGACTAAATGTAAATGTAAATTAAACAGAACAAGAAAGTCAAAGCTGTGAAGGGTTGGGTATCGTTTTAATTTTATCGATTCCGATTCCTAGTTTTGATTCCAATAAGATTTTTAAAAATCCAATAAAAAAGTCAAACATTTAGATGTCAAAAATGTATTCTGTCTTTTTGCAAAGCATTCTGTTGCAGCTGAATAACATGAGCAAAAATCAGAACATTTAGACCAACAAGAGGAACATTTGCCTATGGTTTTAACAAAAATACCACAGCAAAAACAACTAGAATAATATAATATAAAGTTCAAACATTAAATTGTTAAAGACAAGCAAACAGTAATAAAACAGGAACAAACAAATAAATTATCAATATCATAAATACAACTGAACAAATTTCAGGTAGGCCAACAGAAATTGAAAAAAAAAAAAAAGTTTAAAAACACTGCAGTTTTCTTTTCATAAATAAAATATAGATTAATCTAGGGCTGCAACTAACGATTATTTTAATAATCAATTAATCTGTCGATTATTTTTTCGATTAATCGATGAATCGGATAAAAAACAAAAAAGCAAGAAAAGCATTCATTTCCAACCCTTTATTCAAAAACAGAACTAAAACCTTTAGAAAGTGCACAAACATTTTGCTCCTTGAACATCCTGAGCTGTTATAATAATAATAATAAAATAAAAATGGACTTACACAAAAAACATACACATGTATGCTTTACATCTGCCAAATATACTTTTTTAAAAAAAAATAAAGTGCCACCTGAGCTGCCAGAACAATAAATAATTTATAAAAAATAAAGAACAATACAAATCAGAAAATTTAACAGGATTTGTTTGAATGTCAGAACTTGTTCTCTACACTACACTGCAGACGCACACACTCGCAGATGCATACACTCGCAGACGCACACACTCGCAGATGCATACACTCGCAGACGCACACACTCACAAACTCTCACACTGACACACACACACACACACTTACACTTACTCTCTCTCACTCCCTTTGTTCAGACACTTTGCATTGCAATGCAAAATTGTGAGCATGTCCACATGCTCCTGGCTCAGGCTCGCTATTTTCTTTGAGGCCATGTTGCCTGCTGCAGAAAACAGCCGCTCAGATGGTGTTGAAATGCTGAATGGGACGGGCTACGGACTCGTAGACTCGGCGAGCACGCGCAATTTAAGTCCACGAGACCGAAAGTCCACATGAAGTGCGCCATTTGGGACAGGGCCTATATGAGGTGCCAAACTCTGCTAGCATCAGTGCGCGAGAGAGACCGAGTGTGTTCACTCCGCTCCGCGCTCAACTAAAGTTATTTATTTTTTTAATAATCAAACGTCTCCGCGTCGCGCGACACAACGAATCGATTATGAAATTCGTTGCCAACTCTTTTAGTAATCGATTTTTATCGATTTAATCGATTCGTTGTTGCAGCCCTAGATTAATCCTCATTAAAGTTACAAAATATATTCAATCAAGATCAGTGAATGATTTTCTTTTTTCTCACCTGTTCACGTACACTTAAGACAAAAGGGCTGTGTTTACAAGGATATACTGACGTAATTTTGCCCATATTGGCTGCAGTATGTGAAAGAAATCAGTTCCGGCCTTTTCTGCAGTGGAAATGCATGTAATGGTTCGAGAACGAACACAGGCCGGGAACACTCTAGAGTTGGTCTCTTGACACTGCATCATCGAAGATGTCGCTTTGGAGTAATCTCCTCCTTCCTCTAATCTACTGAAGCCTTATGAAATCTCGCAGGCGAAAGTTCCAGTAGCCCCTCACTGCAGAACACAAGATCCAGGGGGCGTGGTTGGATCCACATCTAGTGGAGATTGGTAGGTTTAGGGATGGAGATGGGTGGGTTTAGGGATCAGGGGGTGGAGCCGGGTAGGTTTAGGTATATGTAAGGTGGGAGGAGTTGGATCTGGATCCAACCACGCCCCCTGGATCTTGTGTTCTGCAGTGAGGGGCTACTGGAACTTTCGCCAGGGTTAGGTTAGGACACTTTTTTTGTGTTCTGCAGTGTGGACCATCTCGAAAATTAATCCGTATCGTTCCGCTGTGCAGTGCATTAAGTCACAATACTGTATATCTATTGAAACGTGCATTCAAGTGAGCGCATTGAGACAGACCCACTCCCAAGTTTGGCCAGGGGGCTGGATTATATCAGTGGGCCTGAATATATCTACTTTATGGTCAGATAGCCCGTTAGTAGGGCTGGGTATCGATTCAGAAGTCCCGATTCGATTCGATATGCAAGCTCTCGATTCGATTCTTGATTTTTTTTATTACATTGTGAATATAGTTTTAATACAAATGCTATTGATACTTCTAAAACATGAACAGTAAACATCAATTTACAAATGGTGAATTAATAAAAAGACATTAAGAACCACATGCCTGTATTTTAAACCTATTCTTTTTTTTTGTATAGGGTCCTTTTCTTAAACAATAATAGGGCCCTATACAAGCGCCATCCGTCATTCATTCATTGCGGAAATCATGGCGCCTTATGCGTGATATCAGATGCTTCCGCAGATTTATAGTATTACTATAGCATTTCACCTGAGCTTTGCGAATTGCGCGTATGGCCATGATAAGCACTGAATGAATGACAGGATTGCTGTTGTAACATCGCACAAGGTAAATAAGGGTGACATCTAGTGGAGAAGACTAATGATAAGATTCACGTTAATCAGATCTTGTTTTAAATGTCTGCTGAAATAAATACTGGAAAAGATTGATTCGCGGCTTTTGAGAATCGATATAATTTAAAAAAATGGTAAATCGGAAAATCTATTTTTTTGCCCAGCCCTACCCGTTAGTTGCCTTGAATTTTTTCCAAGAGTACTTGGACAGCGATCTTGGAAAGTGATTTTGTGCTTCTTTGGGATGGCATTATAATGTTCCGTTCACTTGCAGAGGGCACATAATTCCAATAACAACCAACTGCAGAACCGCAGAACCATACGTCATGACAGTCTGAGGACAACAGCGCCAGACTAACAGTCTGAGGTCGGAAGTGGGCGGAGTAGCCGTATCAGATCGGAAGTGGGCGGAGTTCATGTAAACTAATAATGGCGGAAGAGACGCTTAGAAGTTAATCAAGGCGTAATTACGAGAGCTCAGTCAAAAGTTAATGAAAATGGAATCGTCATGGCGGAAGAAGAGAAAACTGTAAAAAAAAAAAAATACAAAATACAAAAGGGCTCGGAGTATTTTGCAAGTGGGCATTGTGACGAAGGCACTTGAGCACA